TTTTCAAAATCATAGCCTCCTTTTTCACTAACTGTTGTTACAGGAACACACATACACACACACACACACACACACACACACACACACACACACACGTATATTCCTAACCATAACGTACTCAATTATATAATGTTACCCTGTATGTGTGTTTTCAGGGCTGATCATCTGGTATTGGATAACCATCGGTTTTCAAAATGATTTTATTTTGTTCTGCCTGCACATATGTCTGTGCATTAAGTACATGCTTGGTGCCTATGGGTGCAAAGCAAGAGGCTCAGATGCCCTGGAACTGGAATAACATGGTTGTCAGCTGCCATGTGGGTGCTGGAAATCAGACCCAGTTTCTGCCAGTGCTCTTAACACTGAGCCACCTCTTCAGCCACAGTGGTTGTTGATCTGAGCTACTAAGTCTTTGTCCTTTTTAAGTATGAGTAATTGGGTAAGAAGTTCTTCTTACTGTATTCCATCTGGGGTCCTATGTGTGGCATGCTTCCTGCCTTCAAACCTAGAAGTCCCCCGAAATGTTCTCAGTGTTCTCTTGTCCATGTGGGATAAAGGCCTAGGACAAGGTAATCAAATGCACGTGTATAGGACTTTGAGAACAACTACACGTACTAGTGAAAGTCAAAATTTCCAACCTCTCCCACCTTGATATTGCTTGCTTCAAACCTTGATGGTGGCATTGCAAGCTGCATGTGGTCCTTGCACTGACACTTCTAGTCACTTCTTATGCATAAGTGACCCTCCTACTTACAAATATTCCAAGTAGATTTTGCTTGCTACTGGTAATTCCATGAATTGGGAAATATTTGCACAGAATATTTATCTCTGTTTACACGGGTCAGTGGGCCCATTCTCCACCCTCTGAAATTGGAAATCCTTCACTTGGAAGTTCTTTGAAATTTGTTTGATGGGTAATCTCAACTGTCAAGTTTGTGTGACCTAGAATCACCTGGGATGACCCTCTGGGTGTGCCTGAGGGAAGTTATTTTAATTAGGTTAGTTGAGGTGAGAAGGTCCACCCCTTGTAGGTGGCACCATTCCCGAGGCTGGGATTCTGGACCATCTAGGAAAGAGATGAAATGTGACTGGCTCTCTCAGGCTCCTTCTGCTGTGATTTCACCATGATGATTGACTGAAACCGCAACTGTGAACCAAAGAAAACCCTTTCTCCCTAAAGTGCTTTGTCAGGGTATGTCAGGGTATGTCAGGGTATGTCAGGGTATGTCAGGGTATGTCAGGTTATGTCAGGGTATGTCAGGGTATGTCAGGGTATGTCAGGGTATGTCAGGGTATGTTAGGGTATGTCAGCACAGCAACAGAAAAGGAAACTAAGTCGTTTAGCCAGAGATCTGCAAATGTGCGCAGTCCACTACTTTATGGTAAAGTTGTATGGGAAAACTTCAGGAGCTATGCCTCTGTACTATTTGTCTTGAAAACACAAACATAGCTCAGTTCCTATGCTGCTGAGATCATCATTTAATATGGGTTCCTGCAGACTGAACACTAATTACAGACAAAAATCTTCCCCGCCTTATATGTCAGGAATGACCAAGATTTAAACTTCTGTCTCTCTGTCTCTCTGTCTCTCTGTCTCTCTGTCTCTCTCTCTCTCTCTCTCTCTCTCTCTCACACACACACACACACACACACACACACAGAGAGAGAGAGAGAGAGAGAGAGAGAGAGAGAGAGAGAGAGAGAGAGAAACAGACAGACACACAGGTGACAGTTGGATCCCCGCAGCTAGGGATGACTGTGAGCTGCCTGGTGCTGGGAATGGAGCTTGGACCCTCTACAAGAGCAGCAAGCACTCCTAACCACTGAGCAATCTGTTCAGCCTTTTGAATTTTAATATAATCACCTTAGATTTGTGGCTTGTAAGTTTTGCTTGTACTAGTACTATTGCTCTAATATATGGAAACCTAGACCCACAAACATTAGCAGGACATTTAAAAATCTTGGCTTGCCCCTGGGTCACTTAAATTTTAATCGCAACTCAGAAAATCTTGAATCAGAGAAGAAACTGGAGAACCACCAACTTTCCCATCTCCTGGTTCTCAGTTGTCTCCTATTGAGTTCAACAGAACCAGGACCCTGGATGAGGATCAGCTGGCATTGGTCCAATTTTTGCATCTCTCAAATATATCTTGGCTCAACACCATAGTGGAGGCCACCATCTCTCATCTAGATTATTACAGTAACTCAAGACAAGTTTGAGGCATAGAAATGTCACGTGTGAGAGAGGGTAGGCCTTCTGTGAAGTGGTCCTCATTTACCATTGCAGCTTCTGTCCTCTCAGGGTAAAGACTTCTTTCTGACCACACTGATCATTTTCAGAACCCTGAGCCCTTCTACACACAGCTCTCTCTGACTATATGCTTTTCTCACTGGGGGACTATCTATCCATCAAGTCCAATTCAACGTCGCATACTATGTGAACCTCCAGACAGACTTGGCATTCATTTCTTGTAATACTGTTAATTATTTAGCCTCATTTACATAACAGAGCATTTATTTCCCCCACTTCCCTAATGTTCAGTGTTATTATATTCCATGTCACGGGCTAGACTGGTAGAGCAATCAAATAATGTCTCTGGAGAGTATGGGAGGAGTTATTAAAAATGAAGAAGAGGAGGAAAGAAAGAGCCTGGAGTCCCAGGAGCTCAATTCTATCCTGCAAATATATTTAAAGTGCTCATTCTGCCAAGAAAAATGTCCCTGACATTTAAGAACCATATTTATGAAGCGAGTGACAGAAGGAAAATGCATGACAATTACTGCCTTAGTTGACACACTATTCTGAAACAATGTATCAATCATACTAACAAAACAAGAGTCCTTCCTTCCTTGTTAACTGAACCAGCAGAACAGCAGCTGACGGAATCGTGGACATTTTACGACCATTGGCATCAGTTATGGTTTGAACCTGGCCTCAGACCAGATTTTTGGACCTGAGTTCCTCTATTTGATAGGATTCTATTGCACTACTAGACATCCTCTCAACAAAAAACTTACAATATTGTATAAGGAAATAACTCCTCTCATTGGAATGATTACAAGAGTTAAAACTGGGTACCAAAGACTTCACTACATGGGAAATAATTTGTAATTGTGTGACGCTCATGGCATCTGGTTTTAAGAAGTATTGAACTGCATATACTGACTTGGAAGTTGATCATGACAGAACTTGTACGATCATGAGCCTTTTTAATATTTTGGAAAAAGACATTCACGTATATAAATACTATATATTTGATCAAAAATGGTTGGAAGAACAATCACCAGAACCAATGATTGTAATATAGAGGAACATGTGAAAGACATCACAAATAAGTAACTTTTTAGCTAAAATGACACACCATGACATGGGAAAGTGAAGGTTCAATGTTATGTGTCTGGAAGGAGGACATACTTTGTCTATTGGGGCCCTCAGATGGGGATAAAGCATTCAAGGTCATTAAAAAAACCAAGTAACAGTAAACATCAGTAACAACACCACTCACAGCCCACGAATTTTCTAACTTGCTGGGTCTAAACTCGGAAGTAGAGCATTTGTCTTGCATGTGAAAATGATACTAATTCCTTGTCAGTTCCTTAATCTTTGAAGCAGACTCTCAGGTGACCCGGTTACATACCTAGGATGACCTTGAATTAGCAAATCTCTACTTCTATCTCCAAAGTGATTGGATTACAGGGATACACTATAAGTCCAAGTCATGTTGTTCTGAGACCTATTTCAGATCCTTCAGGAAGTTACTTAAGCTACTCAACCATGTTTTGGAGGGAGACTGGGATCCTGGGTATTGTTAAGTAGGTTGAGCATAGTTAGATCCTGTCTGAAACAAACTGAGAACTCAAACACACACATGAAAACAAAAAAATCTTAAGAACTAAAAGTTAGCAATGATTCCTAAGTGATATTTTGATTGTGTGAAATACACACATGATTACTTGTAGCTCCATATCTCCAAGCACGCTGCACATACAAACTCCTCATATCCGTAGGTTACCCATGGTATGGAGAGAAAGACCAGGAACCAGATGCAAGCTATCCTAATGCTCAACCCCTGAGCTGAACCATCAAGTCTGAAAAGTCCACATCCTTTTCACAGTGGGTGAGGCTGGGGACAGAACCCCAGGGCCTCATACATGCCGAGCAAGCAACCACCACTGAGATACAGCCCAGTTCGTGTTAATCAACCCATTTGCCTTTGTTCATTTTTGTAAGCTGGTGTGTTTATAGAGCATTCTACTCTACAGCCGAGGCTCAATGGAAGCCAATATGTAGCCCACCTTTTATATTTACGTGCTTCAGGTTTGAGGGTGTTGGGCTAAGAGGTGTGTGCTGATACACACAGATCTGGGATTTGCTACTCAGTCCAGACTAGTGGTTACACATGTTCTTTAGATCAGGTTTGTTCAAACTTGCAATCCTCCTGCCTCATGTTCTTATGTCATCAGACATGGCTCAAAATCGGTGTCTTAAATATGTTCATAAGAGGAGACAAGCAAGAATATTTTGTGTGTCACCTTGGACTACGTGCGAGCCTTAGAAACAACCTGGAGATCTGAACTGGGTGTTTTCCTTTTTGGTCACCGTGTGGACATGTGTGAACCAGCTTCTCAGAGCACGGTCTCCAAAAGGCCAGACAGTGACCACACCCAGGGAGTCAGCTTCTCCTCCTCTGGGCTCTTTGTTGCTGCTGAGACAGCGTCCCTTGTGTTACTGTCTCCTCTAAAACAGCCTGTGTAGTAAGAACGTCCATGCACTTCTGATCCTCCTGCCTCTACCTTCCGTGTGATGGGAATAGAGGGATGGATCTAGCGCAGCCTCCACTACGGATCTGGATGACTTTAGAAATCATACCTCCCATTTCAATCAGCTTCCAGTATCAAGGGGAAGTTTGTGTGCAGAAAGCACCCTTAACAGAGAATAGAATGAAATTCCATGGACAATTGTTTCCATGGACAATTGTTTCCATGGTGGTCCGCACATCTACCCTTGGCATTCAGGGTGGACAGCATCAGGACAGAATTCAGGCTAGCCTCAGCTACATAGCTGACTGCAGGCTGGGTGAGTCTACATCAGACCCTGAAAATTAATGGAAGGCGTTTGGAAGGGAGACCAGGACACATCCCCTTAAGTAGTGGCCCAGAGTCTCCGTGCTCTGGACCCAGGGCCTCACACCAAAGCTGGGTCTAGATGAGAACCAGAGGTTGGAGGATGTCACTCCATGCAGGTAAATGCCATGTCCCTGCTATTAAGTCCCCACATTATCTTTCACTGGGCAGCATATGAAGACTGAGTCCTGTGTATGAGTCTGTCAGAAAGGATCTGCTTATAGGGGGCATGTCCTCTGCAGAGAAATAGCTCAGAAGAGCAGTTGCTGCTCACTAAATAGGTCCAGTCTGTGTTCTCTGTCATAAGAGAATGTTGCTCTGTGAGGACAGAGCGCTGGAGGGAAAATGTAAAACGTGGAGCAGGAGGAGACAGCTCGTGACCACTGTGCACCTTGGCCTGTGATACTCAGCTGAAAATAGGATCAGGTCAGGTCAGGTTTCCTGCAAGTGTCAACTGCTATCGTGGAAATCACTTCTGTTCATGTTTTTAATTTTTTTTCAGAGAGAGATCTTACAATTGCTTTGCAGAAGATACAGTAAAAATGATACTAAAGAAGCCTATATTGTAATAAACACAACAATGAGGAAATAAATGAGTATGAGCAAAATCTTTTATTCTTACTATATTAGGTTCACAAAAAAGTATAGTTGATTACTTGGGGGATTTTTATAATAATATATGTATATTATAATCGAAGCATTAAAATATAGACATTAGGTCCCATGAGTGCCTTAGGATAGTTGAAGGACTTGCTTTGCATTGGAGTCCTTTATTGACCATTCAGCAGCCCTGCTGATTTTAGGAACCCAGAAGAATGTGACCCCATGTGGCATGAAGGCTGGACATGGTGGTCCATGTTGGTGGCATCAGCACTTAGGAGGTAGAGGCACATCAACAAGAGAAGCAAGGCTTCAAGGAGACAAGGAGAAGACAGAGAATGATTGGCCCTGAAGGGCACTTGCTTCTCTCCCAGAGGAGACAATTTGGCTTCTATTCTCAGGCAACTCACAACTGTCTGTCACTCCAACCCTGGGGATCCGATGTCTCTGGTACCCTAAGCTTTTGGCACTTGCACTAGTATTACTTACACACACACACACACACACACACACACACACACACACACAGTTGAAATGAATGAAAATTGTATGAAAATCTAAGATTAACAGGTTCCCTGGAATATATTATGAGAAAAGACACACAGAAGAATACTATAACCTAAGGCAAATTCCTTTTGCTCTGTACCGTCTTTCCGTCAGCTACGTTTGATGTACACGCAGTGCTTCAGTCCTGAGTTTTAGATTTCAATTGTTTGTAGTTTCTCCAAACCTTCATTAGAGGGTGTTTCTCCACTACTTACCCCAGAGTAACAATTCTGTGCACAGCAATCGCCCAACAGACACACAAGATATCCATGGACACAGTCAAGAAGGCTCTGTCAGTTTTCCATCCAGAGCCTGCCAGCAGTTGGATCTCTGAATAAATTGGGTTGAGTCTACTATGATACAATTTGCAGCTTTTCTGGGTCTGATGAAGAAACTTGACCAACTCTGTCTCAGCAAAGTACAAAAAAGGTTCGGCAGCTGAAATCTAATAAGGGACACAAAGCAGCATGGAAGCACCTTCATTTCTCAGTAGCCCAAACTCACCCATCTCCAGCCTCTCTACATGAATGATCTCATTTTGTAAAGTCTGCATGAAATAGTTGTGCACAACAACCAATGAACAGACACAAGATAAATACAACTAATGACTGGGGCAAAAAACAAGAGGTGATATTTTCCTCTTCACTGCAAACAGAATCTTTTCTGCTTGACTTCCACACAGTGTCCATGACATGTTGAACAGATTCTTGAGGCAAGAATGACCTTCTTGGGCTAATGGCTCTGATTGTATCCATGAACTCAGAACAAAGTTGATGAAATTGTTCTCTGAAGACAAAACCCCGGCATGAGAGCACTCCAGAGAGGTGGGGGTACTGCTCCTGAATCATCTTTTTGCAGTTTCCTGCGTAGTCCAGAATTCAGGACATGCTTGGAGATTCTTTTGTCACAGAAATTGATGCCAATGAATTAGGAACATTGGCTGAGGTCAGCTGCATAGGAAGACACTGATCTGAGAGTTTGTCATCCCACACTCTAGAAATTCCAAAGTCTGCAGAGTTCTGGCAACATTAGCTATCAACCTATGAAGAAGTCTTGAAAGTAATGGGAACAGAACAGCAACCATGTCCAGATATTTTAGTAGCCAGAGTCTCCGACACGGGGAGAACAGATTCAGGTGGGCACTTTAACCCCTGCTGGAAGAGACAGGAGGTCTTCAAGGAGTCTTCAGGTTCCTAGGCAGAGACCACGGGGTTAGTTTTGGAGATGGATTTGGAGAGCACATTTGGTGGGATTTACACAGAGGTCCCAAGGTCAGTTGCATCAAGTGACGGAAGTAAATATCTGTGGTGCTGCCTGTTGGATTTTGTCCACTCACGTCACACCCCCAGCAGCCACGATTGCTGTGGGATGGCTCAGTGCACACTCCACAGCACCATTTCTCAATGCCGCCAGGAAATCCAGGGCAGCATTTCAGCAAATCTCTGGCAGATCTCACTGCCCTCTGCATCCTGTCACCATCTCCATGCTGATTCCCAGATTGCACCTTGACTCTGACTGTCAGCCTTGCTGTCAACCATCTCCGATCTGCTCATGGCACACTTGGGCTGAAAACATTTCCCACATGGGAAATTGGAGGCAGTGAGGTGGCTGTTCACACAATCTAAGCACAGACCACCCGGGGAACTATACAGGTATTCTGTTTCCGTCTTTTTGTGCCATCTTCTCTTTTCCATCCCCATTATCTTAGACAGGATTCTAACAGGGAATGTACAACTCACCCACACTAGATCTGGCCCACCCACCTGACTTGTGACCTAGTACTTCTAGACACATGTCCAACCTTAGTTTAGGCTTCTGCTTCATGAGTGGTCCTGGGAGAGCCTATTCCCTTAACAAGGAAACAAGACCATGCTTAGGTATTCAGATGACTCCCTCGCTATTCATTCCACAGTGACGGACAGAAATAATGTGCCCACGAGTCTGTAAAGTGACGGACAGAAATAATGTGCCCACTAGTCTGTAAAGTGAAAGAGAAAGGATTGCTCTGGTCCAGCCACTGTCCACCCTTGCTTAGCTGCACAGCTGTAGAATGTGGCCCTTTACCAACAGAGATAGCCTCCATGTAGAGATGCTGAGGTCTGGGGAGTTTGGAGACCCGAGAAATGAACATGATGTCATGCCTCCTTCTATCTGCTACATATCTAATGTGTACCCTGTAGTCATCCTCTGTGAGAGAAAGAGAATTTATTAAGATTTTACATCTCACCCAAAATGTCACAAATTGTGCTATGGGAGACTGAGTTCAACTCATTCTGACTTCCAATGCAAGGATGTGCTCTGCCAGAAACTCTCAGAATCCTCCTGATAATATCAAAGGACAACAAGGAGAGAATCCACATCCTCCCCAGGTCCATTCCAAAAAGTATGTTTTTCGAAGACTCTGATGCATTCCTTAATGTAGGTTCATTACTGCCTTCAATTTTGAAACATCTATAGATTCTGGAAGAAGTATCATACAGGGCAGGAATAGTGGTGAGACTAATTAGTGAGCAGCCATCACATCACCATCATGTCCAGCTCATGTGCTCCAGAAGTCATGGTACAGATTCTGAAAATCAAGTACTTGAAGGTTCCATGTCCTGTAGGTAAAACAAAGTATCAGTAGACCCAAAAACAAAAAAGACCCCAATTTAGTCAGCTTCTTTGGACATTTCTCATGTCAGGTCTTACTTTCTCCCATCTGGTCTTGGTAGTGTTTGTTTTTTTTCCCAGTGTTGAGTCTCCAACAACCTCACGGTCCCAGGCAATGCACAGCCTATATTTGTATTAATACAGCATACAGATATGTATGCTACCTTTAACAGTTTATGTATTTTCAGAACAAGGGGATCCTACACCAACAACAATGGCCCAGATGATTGAGCATCCAAGACAGCTCCAAGGCAACTGAGGCGGCAACTGACTGAGATGATCCAGTCTCAGAAAACACACATTCCAAGCCTTAAGAATTATCCTAATTTTCTCTGGGTCCCTCAACAACTGCCAGCACCCCGACCAGCTGAAGTATTCTACAGAACTACACCCATACTCCCCAAAATAAATTATGAATGTTTATCATTTAGATGGGTTGGTTACAAGTTATTATTAGTAATGTTCAAGAAGAAAGTTAAACGTAAGAATTAGATTTAGGAATCTCCTTCTAAAAAGAAAAAGGGGATATAGTAATCACAGGATAAAAGGGTAGATTATTTAATCTACTTTCATCCAAAAACAACTATTAATCTTATATTTTACATTGGCATAAATTTTGCTTTATTGTTACAAATTTAATGTTTTTTTTCACATTTTATTTTATTTATTTTTTAAATTTTATTAAATTATAAAAGTTTCCATTTCCGCCCCTCCTCCCAACACCCTCCCACTCCCCCCATTCCCTCTCCTCCTCCCTCTCCATCCCTAAGAGCAGTCAGGGTTTCCTGCCCTGTGGGAAGTTCTACAAATTTAATGTTAATTTTGTTAAACTGTATGTATATTTTTACTCTTGTTTAAGGTATTATGCTTATGCAGCTCATTTAAAATGTAGTATAAATTAAGAAATACAGATTAACAGTCATCTATAATAGTCAAAGTTATAGTATTTTAGAGATGTCTTTAAGCTCATTTAGAGGTATTTCAGAAAGATAAGTAATCTTCAGACATTTCAAAGGCCTACAGAATATGGTATTTAATATATTTAATAATCTAAACCTTTTTACGATAGTGAGATACATTGACTCCTGTCAACACCAATCTACTTCAAAGAAGATGATCAGCATTGAAAACTCCATATGGAGCTTACTTTGTGGCAAAAGTTAAGTTACTGGGCAAAGAAACTGCACTCTTCTCATTTGCTGAAAGTCACTGTCCAAACTGGCCCAGTAGGACACAGGAAAGGTGACTGCAGAACTTTGACCAGACAAGGTAGGACAGTCCTTCAAAACTCTGCTTCATAGAAAACTTTCAGATATTCTAGTTAGATGCCCAATGTTGCAGAAGAACTTTGGGTACTGTCTAGGCAACCTGAGGTCCCTAGCATAAGGTAACATTTCACTTTTCTGGGGTCTTTGATAGAGTTGAAGACTAGATAGCCCTGGTTATAGTTTTTCTCAGTTATGATAAAAGATAAATTAGATGAGAAACTTTAGACTCACCAAAATAGGATGGATAACAGTACTTTCTCTAATTTTGCAAAACACAAAATTGATTGGATATTGTTACCACAGTTCTTAATAACTGTTTCTGTTGTATATAATTTTTACTAAGGTACGGTTAAAGCCTTCCTTTTTAATTAGACAAAAAGGGTGAAATGATGTGAATTATGCCCATAGTTAATAAAAGTTGATTGGTCGATAGCTGAGCAGAAAGAGATTGAGTACAAGAGCCAGACTAAGAATTCTGGGAAGAGAAAGGGCAGAGTCAGAGAGTCACCACAAACAGAAGAACAGGATGACAATGCTGTACCAAATATGCTCTCCAATGCCATTTCCAAAACTCACCTCTTGGTCTCTGCCTAGGAACATCAAGACTCCTTTGAAAACATCCTTCACCCCCTCCCCCCATGAGATTTAGAATGCCCACCTGGATCAGTTTGCTCAATGTCAGAGCCTCTGGCAACTGAAATATCTGGATATACTTGGTGTCAAATTCCGTTTACTTCTTGGGACTCTTCAAAGGTTGTTAGCTAATATTGCAGGTACTCTCCAAACACTGGATTGTCTGGGATGACAGACTCTCAGATCAGTGTCCTCATACCTCCCTTAACCAATGTCCCCAACTTATTAGCATCAATTTCTATGATAATAGAATCTCCAGGCCAAGTCCTGAGTGAAGATTTGGACCACACAGGGAACCTGAAAAAGATGATTCTGGAGCAGTAACCTGCTCCTTTGGAATGCTATCATTGCCAGGGTTTTGTCTACAGAAAACAAAGTAATCACCTTTATTCAGAGTTCATGGGTACAGTCAGGTCCATAAGGCAGCCCAAGGTGGTCATCTTTGCATAAAGAGTCTGCCCAACATGTCGGGTACATTGTCCGTATGACAAGAAGATCAGATTCTGTTTCTGTTTGCAGTAAAGACAAAAATGTCACTTCATGTCCTTTGCCCCTGGTCATTAGTCGTATCCATCCTGTGTCTGTTCAGTGGTTGTTGTGTACAACTGTTTCATCCAGATTTTATAAAATGAGATACCTTTCATTTAGGAATGCTGGAGATGGGTAAGCTTGGGTAACTGAGAAATGATCACATTGGCATGCTTCTTTGTGTTCGTTTCTGGATTTCCAATGCTGAACCCTTTTTCTCCTTTGCTGAGACAGAGTTGGTCAAGTTTCTTCATTTGACCCAGAAAAGTTGCAAATTGTATCATGGAAGACTCAACCTTATTTATTCTCAGAGGTCCAACTCCTGGACATCCTCTGGATGGAAAACTCGCAGAATCTTCTTGAAAGTCTACATGCACAGTTACAAAAACTTCATCCTTTTACATTCAAACTGGAAATATTCTTTTTGTTTATTTTTTTGAGACAGGGTTTCTCTGTAGCTTTAGAGCCTGTTCTGGAAGTAGCTCTTGTAGACCAGGCTGGCCTTGAACTAGCAGAGATTCACCTGCCTCTGCCTCCCAAGTGCTGGGATTAAAGACATGTGACACCACCGCCCGGTGGAAATATTCTTTTGTCCCAGGCCCAACTCAAGAAGTCTTGTTCTTGCAGATGTATCCCTGGCAGAGGTCAGTTACCACCATCCTTTCGTCTCCTTTTCAGTTTCCGGGTCAGGCTTCTCTACTTCCTTCTTTGTTCTTTTTGTTTTTTGTTTTTGTTTTTTTTTTGTTTTTTGAGACAGGCTTTGGAGGCTGTGGCTTTGGAGCCTGTCCTGGAACTAGCTCTTGTAGACTGGGCTGGTCTCAAACTCAGAGATCTACCTGCCTCTGCCTCCCGAGTGCTGGGATTAAAGGCATGTGCTGCCGCCGCTGCCCAGCTCTACTTGCTTCTTACTCCTTGTTTTTGCTGAGCAGCCATCTTCCTCTGTTGCAGCCCATTCTCATGGTGCGGCATAACTCATGGTGCTCATTCTGCAAATGGAGTACTCCAAGTTGCCACCTCCTGTGGGTAAAACAGGTGAAGAGTCAGTAGATAAAACAAGAGCCCAACTTAGTCAGCTCCTTTCCACATCTCTAACGTCAATTCTTACTTTCTCCCATCCGGACCTTAGCAGTGTTTGTGTTATTCCAATATGAAGTGTCCAACAAAGACCTCATGATCCCAGGCAATGGCTCTTTCTGAGCTGCATCCATGGCTCTGTCTCACTTCCCTCCATTCAGTTTCTCTAGACCTGGTACTACTAGTGCCCGTGGGGAGACAGGGACAGGCTCCTTCCACTGTGCCCACATCTTCTCTATTCCTCCCCATACCCAACGGTCCTTTTCTATCAGATGTCAATAGCAGCAAGGCTTCTTCAGTCTTCCAAGCTGATGCTACCAAGGCCTCGGATCTACCTATAACTCTTCAGGGTCTCAAACCTATATTCTCTCTCCCCTGTGTCCCAGAATCCTCCATTTGACTCTACCTGGGTCTTGCCCACTTTGGGTTAATATTTGGTGTCAGTAGGATATCTACCCAATCCAGAACAACCTGGAAGATTTCCTTGTGGTGCTTGTTCTTCGGGGCCCACACAGGGACATAGGAGAATGGCCAGACTGTGACCATAGTCTTCATAATCTTAGTGAGCATGCCAGTGAAGACCTCCTGGAATCGTTGTGGGAAGAGCTCCATGGAGAGTTCCTCCAGAGCAGAGATGACCTTGTCCTCATCCTTCAGTACCTCCGTCTTTGCCAGCTCCAGGAGCTTTGGTAGACTCCTTACACTCATCAGGATGGATCCTGGGAAAACTTCCAAAAAAAGACAGCCAGGAAATGTTAATTCGTACAAACACAATCAACATCCTGGAAGTTATCACTGAAGGGTACAAACTGATTAAGTTACAAGAATGTAGTGAGGAGCTGCGGGCAGGCCTGCTTTTCGCCTCACCCGGCTCCCGCACGGCTAGCTTAGTCCCAGAAATAACAACACACAAATTGTATTCATTTAAGCACTGCCTGGCCCATTATCTCTAGAGAGTTAGTTACTGACTAACTCTCATATCTTGATATTAACCCATTTCTAATAATCTGTAGCACCACGAGGTGGTGGCTTACCGGAAAAGATTCAGCATGTCTGACCTGGTGGCTGGCTCCATGGCGTCTGCCTCATTGCTCTCTTCCCAGCATTCTATTCTGTTTACTCCGCCTACCTAATTTTCTGTCCTATCAAGGGGCCAAGGCAGTCTCTTTATTGACCAATGAAAATAACACAATAGACAGATAACCCTTCTCCATCACAAGAAAGCAAATCCCAGAGAACATAAACAACAATGAGTACCCTAAGAGAGACATACATGGATCTAATCCACATGGGAATTAGAAAAAGATCTCCTGAGTAAATTGGAAGTATGGGGACCATGACAGGGTTGAAGTGGAGGGAAGAGGAAAGGAGGGAGCAAAGAATATATAGCTCAATAAATGTATAGCTCAATGAAATCAATTTAAAAAAGAAAAAAGGCAAATCCTTTCAGACTCAGTGACTCTGGCCTCTCACCCCAGTGTGTGGTGGGTGCAGAGTCAGAAGATGAATAGTTCGAGACCAGTTGTAGTACTGGAAAAGTAAAACATAAGAACAAAAGCTCACCAGCAAACAAAAACAAATGCCCTAGCCTAGATGCACATGCCTTTCATCCCATTACTTAGGAAGTAGACACTGGTGGATTTCTATAATTTACATCCTGTTCCACATTGCAAGTTCCAGGTCACTAAGAGCCACATGGTAAGACTATTTAACACACACACACACACACACACACACACACAGTCACAGTTAGGATTCCTATTGCTGCTATTAAACACAACCAGAAGCAAATTCAGGAGGAAAGGTTTTCTTTGGTTTACAGTTCCACATGGTGGTCCACCATTAATGGAAGTGAGGACAGGAAATCAAACAGGTAGCAACCTGGAGCCAGGAGCTGATGCAGAGTCCATGGAGGGTGCTGCTTACTGGCTTGTTCCCCACGCTTACTCAGCCTGCTTTCTACAGAAGCCAGGACCACCTGCCCAGGCATGGCATCACCCACAATGGGCTGGGCCCCACCCGTCACTGGCTAAGGAGATGTCCTACAGGCTTGCCAACAGGAGGAGCTTATGCAGGCATTTTCTCAACTGAGACTTCCTCCTCTCAGATAACTGTAGCTTGTGTCAAGTTGACATAAAATTACCCAGCACAGTTGACCCCTTGCCAACTTGACACAGAATGCTTTTTAAGATTATAACCTTTCATTTTTTGGGTGTGTGTGTGGGGTCGCTGTTGTGGGGATTCATCCAAGATCTCAGATTACTACATCTCACAAACACAAACCATGGCTAACTTTAAAAGCCCCACAGCCTTTGCAAATGCAAACTCATTAGAGGTTCACCTTTTAGTAGTATCAGCTCTCTTTTCTTCCTGTTCGTTGCTTTGTACAACCTCGATATGAGGTCTTTCACCTTTTCTCCTTATGTCTTGTGCTATCTTGTGTGGCTGTCATCTCTTGGAGACCTATTCTCTGAAGAAAATAACGATAGGGGGCAGGTCTGGGAAGGATAGAGTTGTGTGTGTGGGGAGCTCGAGGTATTGGGGGAGGGGGGAGGGAAAACATGCTTGGTGTATTGTCTGAGCGAAGAGTGAAGATCAGTTTTTTTTGTTTTCTTTTGTCTTGTCTTTAAGACAGGGTTTCTTTGTGTAGCCCTGGCTGTCCTGGAACTCACTTTATATACCAGGCTAGCTTGAATTCACTGAGATCTGTCTGCCTATACCCCCCAAGAACTGGGATTAAAAGTGTACTCCACCACTGTCTGGGAAGCATTTTCTGTTTAGATTTGGTGTGTTATGTTTGAGACAAAGCTTGACAGCCCAGGCTGGCCTTCTACTCACTGTGTAGTCAAGAGTGGCCTTGAACTCCCATCCTGCTGCCTGGATCTCACCAGTGCTGGTCCTCCAGGTGAGAGCCTGAAATTCGGTGCCACTGAGGTTCTCTGGGAAAATATTTTAAATTGTCTAACATTAGATCAGCGGGTTGAGGTGGAGTTCAGAAAGGAGGAAGTAAACTCCACAATGCTTCTTTCCAACACAGAGCAGAGTTTGTGCCTCTTAAAACCATCATTTTCTATAGTTTTGCTCACCCTGTTTGCTAATTCAGTTTTTCTAATTGGCATTCTCTTTTTACTCTATTTCTTTGAATCCTGACTGCCGTTTGCCCTCCTTCCTCTCCCCCAGCCCTCACCTCCCCTCTGACCCCATCCACCTCTAAGAACTGGAAGAGACAACGGGAATGGAGGAGCAACTCAGGGAAAGCTAGTGCAATGGAAACTTCCAGAAATGCACGAGGGAGACCCTAGCGAAGACTGCTCCTAGCAACAGGGATAAGGGATACAGAGCCTGAACTGGCCATCTCCTGGAGCCGGACAAGACTTCCAGTGGAGGCCTTGGAACAGCAACCCAGCCACAAAATCTTTGACTTACAATCTGTCCTGCCTACAAGATGTGCTGGGGTAGAGGCGACTTGGAAACTGTAGGGGTTCCCAAACAAACAGCTTGAGACCCATGCTATGGAAGGGAGTGCACCCCTGAAACTGCCTGGAATGCCAGCCCCCCCTCAAAGAAACAATGAAAGAAAGAAATTCAATTCAATGAAATGATTCCTAATGGTATTCTGATATATTCATAGATTGGTGACTAGCCCAACTGTCAGAGAGGCTTCAATAAGCAACAGATGCAGAGACCAAAAGCCAAACATTAGGCAGAACTGAAGGAATCCTCCAGAAGAGGAGGAAGGATTGGAGGAGCCTGAGGGGTTAAAACCACCCTAAGAAAACCCACAGAATCAACTAATGTGGCCTCACGGGGCTCACAGAGACTGGAGACAATCAGTTAAGACTGTATGACTGACCAAGGCCCTCTGCATACATGTGACAGCTGCGTAGCTTGGTGTTCCTGTGGGACTCCAAGCAGTGGGAACAGGGAGTGTCTTTGTTTTCAGAACCTTTTTCCTCATACTGAGTTGTCTCTTCAAGCCTTAAGAAAAGGGGAGGTACCTAATCTTATTGCAACTCAATATGCTGTATTTGGTTGACATCTCTGGGAGGCCTGCTCTTTTCTGGAGAGAAATGAAGAATATTTTCAATAAAATATCCTGTCTCTCATAGAATCCAAAATCTCTTTTTTAAAAGTTCAAATTATCAACTGTGGGCTCCTGTAAAAATCGAAATTTAATTAAATGCTTTCTCATTCAAGAGTACAGGACAGGTGCTCAGTCACAATTAAACCAAAACAAAACCCAACTCCAACAGCGAAAATAGCTCGATGGCCAATATCTGGATCCACTCACTAGCTTCTAGGACGTGGGATGCTTCTAAGCTCTGCCGTCTGCAGCACACAGTTTCTCTTGTAGTCTCAGGCCAGTTGCATTCCGCTGCTGCTCTTCCCGTGGTCCTGGCATCTCCAAAATGCTGGGTCTCCTGGTTCACCTGGGCTGCCCTTTCACCAATTGCCTCTCCTAGGTTCTCTGCGGAGACTCCAGCCCTGCCCACAGTGCCCAGCCTCAGCTGCTCTCCACGACCCCTTCGAGCCTTCAAACCCAGCACCACCTGTTGACTCCTGCACTACCAAGTTCAGCTGCCAGCACGAGGCACACACGACCTTGAGGAAACACTTCCCCAGAGGATTTCACTTCAGCGATGCTGGGCTTTTCTAAATCTCAGATTCTTCAGCCCCAGGTTACCAGCAGTCACATCCCAGCAAAGCAAAGGTTTCATTGGGTTGTTCTGGTCCCTTGTCAATCACAGCTGATTCATCAGCCTCAGCTAAAACCAGGACCACAGAGTCTTAACTCAAAGAGCTCAGTGGAGTCTTTGCTTCCCTCTGACACCCCACAAGCCAGACCTCCATCATTTTCACGGCTCTCAAGGCTCTTCCCTCCCAAGCTCCCACAGATCGTCTTGCCGAGCTCCCCACACTCCATGGCTCCTCTGACCCGAAGTTCCCAAGCCCTTCCACAATCCTCCCCAAACAAGGTCAAGTCTTTCAACCAATCTCTCACTATGTGCATACCAAATTCTGTCTTAGGGCTTCCATTGCTGTGATAAAACCTAGACAATATTCACAATGGGCTGGGCACTCCCCCACTAATCATTAGTTTAAAAATACCTACACGCTGGGCAGTGATGGTGAGCACATTTACTCAGCAACTGGGAGGCAGAAGCAGGCAGATCTCTTACTGTGAAGTCAGTCTGTCTACAGGTGAGGTCAAGGACAGCCAAGAGTGTTACATAGAGAAACTGTGTCTGGAAAAACCAGAAAAGAAAAAGAATACCTACAACCCAATCTTATGGAGGTGTTTTCTGAATTGAGATTCCCTCCCCCTCCCAGATGTCCTAGCCTATGTGAAGTTGACTTAATACTATTCAACAAACACAAAATTCCAATCCCACAGTACTTTCTCTCTCAATAGCAACAGGGAAAGCTTCCTCTTCAAGAAATTTTCAGGCGATTCCCTTTGAACACGTCTCACCCTCCAGATCTTCATTTTCTGTAATGAATCTATGCTCACTCAAATTAACAAAAATATAAGAAACAAAACCTAAAACAAGAAGCTGGGGATGTAGGTGACTGTCCTACCAGACATGAGGCCCTGGACCCTATCCATCACCACACTGTGTAAAGAGGCAGTGACTAAATTTTGTGTCTCATCACTTAGGAGGTAGAGGACGAAGGTCATTGCTCAGTATCTTCTAAGATGCACATATAGTTCCATGTTGGGTCCATTTGGAGTCCTGGCCTTCAGCTGCTCTTCCTGCTAGAGCCTTCTGATTGGAGTTACTAAAAGCTGTGCCTTGCCTAGAGGATCAGAGGATGGGGTTTTCACCTGTTGGCCCACTTGACTGTTGGGTATTTAAGCCTCCATGGTGCTATTGAATAAAGAGCTTCTTACCAGTGATTAGACATCCTTGAGTCTGTCTCTGTTGGTGTGTGTCATTGTGTGTTTCAACCTCCAGCCCCTTGCCCGAAGCTCACGAACTGTATTGTAGCACATAGAGCGCAGACAGGGGCGCAGTGTGCAACAAGCTTCGGGCAAGGGGCTGGAGGTTGAAATACACAAACACACACAGAGACAGACAGACTCATGGACGTCTAATCACTGGTAAGAAGCCTTTTATCCAATAGCACCATGGAGGCTTATATACCCAGCGGGCAAGTGGGCCAACAGGTGAAAACCCCATCCTCTGTTCCTCTAGGCAAGGCACAGCTTTTAGTAACTTCCATTAGAAGGCTCTAGAAGGGAAGAGCAGCTGAAGGCCAGGTCTCCAAATGGTCCCAACAGTTCCAGACTGGTGTAATGGTATACTGTTTGCGCTTTAATAAATAAAGTTTGCCGGAAGAATAAAGAACACAGCTAGTCACACTAGTCAGCCACTAAAGGCCAGAGAGTTGTGACACACACCTTTAATTCCAGGACAAGGCCACCTGCATTACGTGAGATTGAACCTGTCTAAAGAGAGAAGCAGAACTCACCCAAAGGTGCTCCCAGCACTCCGGAGTCACAGCACTGAGTAAGTAGAGACAAGTGATACGGCGGGTGGAGAGAGGAAGACAAGGCCGTAGGGGACAAGAGCTCAGCAGTCTCACACTGAGGATTTCTGGAGGCAGGATCACCCATTTTGGTCTGAGATAGAACTAAGATTTAGTGGCTGATCACTTTGCTATTCTGATCTTCAGGTTGAACCCCAATATCTGTCTTGGGTTTTTATTAATCATGCTACAGACTAGCCTGGGTTCCTGGACTCCATGTTTCAGAGACGCAAAACCAATCCTACAAACAACATAGCCAGAAATGCTAAATAAAATAAGATGAATTTAAAAAGAAAAACCTCTAGAAGATACTTGAGTAACAGCCTGAAATGCCAGCCACTAGGAGCTGAGGCTGGCTTCTTTGGTGATACATGCTAATGACTCCAGCATTCAGGAGACAGAATCAGGAGAACTGCAGGTCCCAACCAGCCTGAGCTACTCAGGGCAGTTCTAGGACAATCTGGGCAACATAGCAAAACACTGGCTCAAAATTAAAAGATCACAAATTAACAAAAGAGAACACAGTATTTGAGTTAAAGACAAAACCACATTTGGATTTAAAACCAATCTCAAATCTGCAGATATGGAGACAGAAATTCTAGTGTCCTGAGCCATCTTGGGTCCATTGTCCTCAGCAGGGAGTGGCTGAGCTGGGTGAAGAAGCTGTGTAACTTACCAGAGGTGACAGTGTTCTTACTCCAAGAGGGCCAGCAGTTGGCCCTAGGCTCTGGAACTCTGGGTATCTTCTCTGGCTCCTCTGAAGCTTTTATCCACCTTCTTCCTCATTCCTCCCCTCTGCTGCCCCAGCTCCACCCATGAGCTACAGTTTGATTCGCTGATTAAGGCTCCATCCTCTTCATCTGTCCTTTTGGGGAGCTCGGGTGTGTCAGGTCAGATCATCTACTAGCAGGAAAGGGAATGAATTGAGACTATGGTACATACAAGGACTCATTCATACATTCACAGCCTATACAATCATATTTGTCTTCCTTTTTATCAATTTTTTTTTCTAGACAGGGCTTTTAGGTACCCCAACTGACAATGAACTATGTAGCAGAAGTTGGTGCCCCTTTTTCTCTGCCTCAAGCTCCCATGTGATTGGAAAACAGGAGTGAACCTCAACGCCCAGGTTATTTACAGCTATTCTTAAATCCAGGATCACACGATGTAACTCAGGACCCAAACCAGAACATATTTTTGGCATCCGCACCAGTGGAATGGGTGTTTCAAGGCTGGAAACCACAAAGAGGGACGCAGTGGCACTCCAGCCTGATGACCGGAAACAACCTGGTCAGGGCTGCTGTCCTGACACCACAGTTTGACCACCTTCAGCCTTTGCCTCTATGAGAAGGGTTCCTCCCACAGTGTTCTGTTCCTTTGGAGACCCAGAGCCCCAAGAAACACCCTCAGCCTTTTGAACAGTATCAGGATCACCTGAGAATCAAGGCGATGTTAAAGCCAGTTAGGCAGCCACACCTGTTGTACAGGACCGTGATCCCAGCTGCTTTGGAGACAGACGCAGGAGGATCACAAATTGAAGCACAGATTGAGCTTTATATCAGCTTGGGCACCTAGGCAAACCCTACCTCAACATGAGTAAATCTATTGCTGACCAATGTGGTGCACACCTTAAATCCAAGTCCTCAGGAGAAAAGTGGATCTAGTGTGTTGATTTTCATACTCTTCTATATAGCAAGTCTGAGGCTAGTCAGGGTTACATGGTGAGTCCTTTTCTTAAAAGATAAAGGGCCAGAGACCCAAATCAGTCATAGAGTGCACACGTGGTGTGCAGGAGGTCAAAGGTTAAATAGCAGAGGATTCAAATGGAAAATAAAAACAAAGACAACAATCACAACAGCCTGTGATTTATTATTATTGTTGTTGTTCTTGTTCCTTTGATTGGCTCTGTAGGTGGAATGCACAGCCACATATGTGCACAGCTAGAAAATACCAAGGAACACAATCCTGCCAACCTTTTTCCTTCAAATGATGCCTCTTTTGTCCTGACACTGGGGGCAGATCAGGACAGCAGACCACGCACAGTATGGTTGTGTTCCACATTAACAGTGTCTGCAGCTTTCTGTTTTCATTTCTGAGTTTATAACATAACCATCCCACTGCTCTATTCCGCTCCCTCCTCCAGCCCTTCCACATACTCCTTGCTCTGTTCCAAATTCATATCTTTGCTTGGGTTTGTTTCTTCCTTTTCTTTTCAAAGCCTGGTGTTTGGAATAGAACACAGGACCCTCACGTGCTAAAAGGGTCTCTCTCCCTGAACTTAGTTCGTGTGTATTTTCATTTGAATTATAGTCTCTCCAAGGTCCCCTAGAACCTGAGATTCTCGCCCCGCATCCTCCAGTAGATGGGGATATATTCTTGTTCTACACCTGTGTGTAGGATATACAGGGATATTCAAAGGGAGAGAGGTTAAAAAGGAAATTTACAATCGTGTGTTAGAACTCAGGCCTCTGAGAAGATGGGGTTGTAGTCTTGTGCTAATGCTGGTT